TTGTTTTTTGATCTAGCACCTGTACAAGTTGTTTGTCTGCACCCAGTATACCTGTTCAGCAATCCATCAATGACTACTGGACTCATAACATTTTGTGTCACAGAGCATTGCAATTTATTTTTGCTGTTTGTGCCTGTTGGGTTTTATTGTATATTTTCTCTTCCTTACTTTGCATTGCACCGTTACTGTTTTGCTCTCTCTGTCTCCACATCTCTCTCTCTGGCTCTGTTTGTCTATTTGCTTCTCTCGCACAGTTTTTCAAAGGATTACAGTGAAATTTGAGGCTGAGGATTATGAAAATCAATGCTGTGTTCAGTTGCAGTGAGGTTAGCTGCTAAGGATTTGTACACAACATGAGGCAGTCAGTGGATATGTTGTCCTCAGCTGCTGTAAGTGTTGAAATGTGTGTAAAGTGGCCTTTTCAGTTGGGAGCCCGCAGACAGTTTGGAGGTGGGGAGGCTTTGATGGGAGGGAAATCGCCAGAAACTAATCAATACTACACATCCTGCTAGGAAAGTACTCTCTCACACACGTTGTGCACACACTTGGATATAGTTCGCACATTTGCACACACACTGCTACCTTTCATTTAACACTTCTTTACCCCTCTGTACCTCTCAGCAGCATGTGTGAAGGAATGGCTTGGTGTGTGTGAAAAGGAGAATGGGGAAAACAAAGACTACGGCAAAACGATAGCTGTCTTCTTTATGCATATGAGTTTTTGTGCATGGCTGTCTGCGGGTAGCACTAGGATGTGTTGACGCACTGCAGTCTGGTGGTATAGTGCCTATTGTGGAGAAAGTGAGAGGCCTCATTAAAAATGTATGGAGCACAGATATCAGCCACCGACCAACTGCGGCCTCTCGGGATGGACAACAGTCTGAAAGTGTTCTACGATGGGAGATGAGTGGTGTGCATGTGCACATGTATACGACCGTGTTGTTAAGCCTATATTATGTTTTTGGTGATGGATGTCTGGACACTTGCTCTCAGTTCAGAAGCTGGGAAGACTGTGCTTTGATTCTTTGAGTCTTGCTGCTTCCTTTCATGCTGAAACTGTTCCCATTTAGATACTTTTTATGATAACGCGGGCACTATAATTGTAAGCCTAATCTTGTCTTCAGGGCAGCTTTTGCAAAAATTAAAGCCTGTGCTGTATAATCTTTAAAGGTTAACACAAATGACAAAAAAAAAAAAATCACTTGCCTCCAGTGGTATCTAGCTATGCAGATAATTTGAGCTTGATTGCTGAGAGTCCTATTTGTAAAATCTGCATCCACCTTAATGCAATGGGATGTGTAATAATCATTGTCTTGATTAGATTGTATATAGAAGACGAACACAACCACTGTGACTACACCCATTTGGCTTGGAAAATCAACACCTTATTTTGTATTGCATTACAAATGTTCCAAAAGGAATCAAACACCAGAAATATGATTAACATGTCCAATCTAATTCAATTCATTTTATTTATGTAATGCCATACTGCAAATTTTGCAAGTAAATGCACAGCTAGTATTTTCACATATTCGGTATAGGCTTTAAATAAAGGTATGGCTTTTTTGTTTTGTTTTTTCTAAACAAAAAAAATTAACTTATAGGAAAGAAACAAAGTTTCAATCCTATCACAGTTGGTATCAATACAATCAATAAAGTAGAGGTCTCAAAAACTTGGCATTGACATGAGGGTCTAAGGCAGGGGTGTCCATCTCCAGGCTCAAGGGCCAGTGTCCTGCAGGTTTTAGATGTGTCCTTGATCCAACACAGTTGATTTAAATGGCTAAATTACCTCCTCAACATGTCTTGAGGTTCTCCAGAGGCCTGGTGATGAACTAATCATTTGATTTAGGATGATATCTAAAACCTGCAGGACACCCACCCTTGAGCCTGGAATTGGACACCCCTGCTCTAAGGGAATTTACTATAACTTTATATATTGCCTCTGGGCCTGAAAAGTGAAACCTATATGGAAACACCTTAAACCTGCATTCTTTCTTATGTTTTCTTTATCACATGGCAACTGTTTGCAAAAAGAAGTGCAGTTGTGTAGAACTCTATAGAAAAAAACAGGCCCTCAGTTACACTGATTCATTCCCTCAGTAAGCATGTTTCCGAGGAGTCTGTGCTTGTACTAAATACAGCATAACGCTCATTTTGTAAATCATGGTCTCCATTAGTGTAGAATATGATTTAGGGCAGGCCAGCTAAGTTTGAATGTCCAGTGTCTCTCTCATTATTAAGATCCAGCACAAACTCGTGACACCTGCTTTAAAGATCTAAGATCACAGTGGCCAGAATGTTAAGTTGCCAATCGAGGAAATGCAGTTTTTGCTGTTTCTGTCTGCTTTATTTTTCACTCCCAGGGGTTGCTTCTTGATCTTGTCCAGATCCATAGTCCATTATGTGAAAAGTGAAAACTAAACTAAAACTAGGTCAGTATTTCATCAGTTATTTATCAAACACATATGCTGCTAACGGCATCCTAGCTTGTTTAGCTTGCCATACGATGTAGTTCTTTTGTATTTGACGTCAGTCAGGAAGAGTTTTAAAATAGCATTAGCTGCGTTCGGTTCACACACATTTCTTAAATGACGTGTAGAGTTCTGGTACATTTTTAAAGCTACTCTTCATGTTGCAGGAGGAGAAGTCAGTGTCAGGATTTCAGGCAGTTTAGTATATGGTACAATGTGACATTTCTTTGTAGTTTTTCTATCTGAAAATGGAGCTAACTAGCAAGAGAAGGTTGTTTGGTGCACACACGCCAACAGCAAAAACAGAGTGAACAGAGAGGGCTTTTTTTTCTCTTTTTTTTTTTTTTTTACAGCTATATCAAATTGTGTGTCATGTCTGTGGTTGTGCATAGATTCAGACTGTTATTTTTGTACCCCTAATTAGAGACGAAAACTGGCCTTTTTTCTTGTCATTGGTGAGAAATGGTATTTGGAATCACAGCGTTACAGTTTCATTGAGCAGCCCTCAGGAGTGTTGGGTCATTCATAGTTGTGGCAGCTCACCTTCAGTGTCATGTGGGATTTTGGATGTCGGCAGCCTCAACACAAGCGCGTCCTCTCTGATGCATAACGAAGCCTTTCTTCACATCATTCTTACTTTGCTGATCCATCATTACAACAGTAGCTGAGCGCTGCCACACTCTGCTGCACGGCGTTTCAATCAACATCAATGTCAGCAGTACGAATCATCACGGCTGATTGTCAAGGTGTGTGTGTGAGTGCATGTGTGCGCGCGCGTGTGTGGGCATCTGTTTATGTGTTGGCGGGCGCCCATGTGGGCGTGTATGTAAATGCTGCTGTAAGACAGCTGAATGCCTGTGCTTTACTGAGAGCTTTGCACCAGGGGAAAATGAAAAGGCCGGGAGAATAATGACAGATTTATAATTACAGAATCTTGCGTTCAGCGCTACTCAGCAACTGTCTGGGGAAGGCAATCTGGCTGTAATTTTTGCTGATCAGGCCTGTCACAGACTTAAGGGTCACACTACACTAATGCCGAAATACACACACACAAGCACACAAATATGCACATGCACGCAGGTGTGCGCGGTGCTTCGCTCTCGCTGTCATTTATGCAGATGTCAGGCCGGGAGAAGAACGCAAACAGACACACAAACACTCGCACTGAAATTTAATCGAAAATTGTGGCACGCCAGCAAATTGCCTGGTTAATTTGCAAGAGCTAAAAGCATCAAGTAAGCTCCAGATTCCTGGAGAAATTGATGTTTTTTTCAGTCTGCCACGAAAACACAGCAGAAATGCCAGCTCGGTGGAAGAAAGCAACAAATTCATTATGTAGAGAAATGTCTGTGAAGGTTCTCAGTCATCCAGGTCATCGTAGTCAAAGGAGCTTGCAAAGAAAAGCGTCTGGACTTCTTTAAGTTACTTGAAGACGTTTCACCTCTCATCCGAGAAGCTTCTTCAATCTCAGGAATTCGCATGATAAGGTGGGGCCAGGTTTCACAATGAACTCACCCGAAACTCTGGCTGATTGGGACCCACACCCAGTTTCACACCTTGGCTCAGGCGATTAGAGGATCATCGTCCTTTTGTCCCTCTGTGGGGGGTTACTCCCACTAGGTTTATATCTGGGACTCTCCACCATTTGACCTTAGAACTGAAGAAGCTTCTCGGATGAGAGGTGAAACGTCTTCAAGTAACTTAAAGAAGTCCAGACGCTTTTCTTTGCAAGCTCCTTTGACTATGTAGAGAAAACAAACTCGGCTAATTTTAGAGGTGAAAGATCAGGCCTTTAAACTACTTTGCTTCGTTTTAAAAAAAATGTAGGTCACACCTTGTGACGCCTGCCTCGCATCTCGAGCCCATCATTATGATTTTGTGAATTTCTAAGCAGGTTTAAGTTTAGTTGAAGGACGTTATATTAGCTTGTTATAAAGCCAGATACAAGAAACAAGCTTTTCTGCATAGTACAATGGATTTTCAACAATGGCATTGGCATATTAACATATAAGTTGTTATTATTTTACATTTAAGCTATTCTATCTTATCGCCAATGAATTCCACACCTGACAGCTTGAATTGTATGTGAGTGTGTGCTGTTTTCTCCACAACATTAAAATGCACTGCTTTGTTATCTACAGTTCTTTCATTATTAATTGCTTCCTGCCTTTGTAAGAGAACATCATTTGTCAGTCAAGCCCTCGGTGCAGCCTCTCTCTTTTTTTTTTCTTTTGCAGAAGTTAAATACATTTGCTATTGTGTCAAATTGAATGAGCCGAAACCCCAGTTTGAACAGGATTACTATGCATGGTCCAGCATTCTGTCTGAGTGCAAATGTAGGGTTTTTTTGCTGTCTTACCTTTAATCCCTGAATGAATTTGTCTCCGGCAGCCAAACACACAAAGCAGCGTTTCCAGAATAAGGATTCTCTCATTTTTATTAATATTTCTGTTTTCATTATTTTAGATTTTTGACTTTGATAATCAGAAGGTTTGCTGTAACATGGATATTTGTTTTGTTCGTTAGGTGTGTCTGCAACATCGACTGTTCCCACATCAGCTTCAACCCAGTATGCGCCTCAGATGGTCGTTCCTATGACAACCCCTGCCAGGTGAAGGAGGCATCCTGTCAGAAGCAGGAGCGCATCGAGGTCAAGTACCTGGGCCACTGCCACGGTCAGACTCTCAAATGCACACTAGCACACTGACTCTGAAAGGCACAACAACACTTTCACAAACGCAGCGGAAGCCGTCAGTCTACCTCCATGAACAGGTGTTTGCGTCACGTTGGAGTGAAAACACGGAGGCAAATGAGGCATCGTGCAGAGCTAAATGCAGGCGGCGTGATTTTGCATCTCCCTCCAGCTGCAGTTCCAGCCACATCTTATAATTACAGAAAGTTTCACTCAATCAAATTTTGGAATGGTGTGGAAAGATAATCCTCAGAGCCGCTGCTGCTACATATACAGATAATTTTACACAATGTTAATCCCTCCTTTTTTTAATGTAGTATCTTTGATTTTGGCGCACTATTTCCGGGGATAAAGTTGTTTTTTTATTAATCTCAGTGCTTTAATCCTTAAACTGAGTTATAGTTCAAATACATGTAGAAGACAGAGACACACAAATGTGTTTTTATTTCATTTAATGTCATTTAAGGTTTGTGTGGTTTAAAACCTAAAATCAGTATTATACTACTGAGTATTCTTGACTATAATGGAACTAAATGGTATTCATGTGGAGCTCCAACTAGCAATATATAGCTTTAGTTATAGATATGAAAGATTTGAAGCACCAGGTTTCCATGGACCTTTTTTGTCCAAGCTGAATCTGCTCAGCAAGTCATGCCCTTAAAAACACAGTTCCTTTCAGTTTAAAGTTTGTTAGAAAAATCTTTTCAGACTATCACAAAGGTTTGAATTCAACCAGATTTTAACAATTAGCAATTTTGTTGCTATTCTGCTAATTCTGTTGAATAGTTGAAGGTTACATTTTGTTCAAAACATCAGGTTTAGTAGACTTTAGACAACTGTTGTGATTTGAGGCTATATAAATAAAATTGAATAGAATTTAACTTTTAAATCACACCTGAGTTGTTTCAAAATTGCAAATGCACATCTTAATACAAAATTTGATTTAACTTTTATTTGGTTGCTTCAAGCAACCCCAGTTACTCAAACCAGTCATTACAACCAATACAGAAGATCTCACCATATTGGACAACAGAAGATAAGGAAAACGTTACCTGGTCCGTTGAGTCTCGACTTCTGCTGTGACTTTTGGATGGCAGGATCAGAACTTGGTGTAAACAACATGAAACGATGGATCCATCCAGCCTTGTATCAGTGATTCAGATTGGTGTTGGTGGTGTAATGGTGTGGGGGATATTTTCTTAGCACTTTATGTCCCTTAGCACCAAGTGACCATCGTTTAAATGTCGATCCATTTATGATCATAGTGTTTCATCTATTGCTTCCAGCAGGGTAACACACCATCTCCCAAAGCTTCTTCAGTCTGTGAAGTGAAGAATTAGGGCAAATGTGGGTTCTACCCAGTACTAGCAAGGTGTACCTAATAATGTGTCCAGTGAGTGTATATCCATGGCCTGTAGACAGTCAAAGCTTAGTGTCCTCAGAGGCGAAGGCAGCACAGTGGTGCAGTGCTTAGCACTAACCTCTTAGCCAGAAAGTCTTGTTTTCTGGTCTGCTGGTCATCTGAACACTTTGCAAAGGTGTTGAGGAGAATCAGTGTCAGCTTCACTTTCCAGTTTACTGTGGCTCTCTTCTCATTATGTAACAGACTTTACTGCAGCCTGAGCTTGTCTGCACACTTTGTGGCTGGTCACCACCACCAACATTCACTTTACCGTAGTCGCAGCTAATTCCCTTGCACTCTGTGAGAGACTCACTTCCCACAGCGAACCCACTAAGTCAGACTGAGTCACTCACCAGATGCAGTTAGGCTCTGTTAAGATGTTGAGTGAAGCACTGGAGATGGACGGCGCGCTGACGACCTTATTCTTACTTTAATTATGGATTTGTTGTCTGTTGTTTTTATTGCTGCCTTCTGTGGGCTGTATGTACACGTAAGACTGCTTTGCACTGAGAGCATTATGTTTTCCAAAAGCCCATGGAAATGTAAGAACTTTCATTTTGGAATTATTTTAGGCATTATTTCCAGTCTATACAAGAATGCAACTCGGTAACTTTGTAGCTCAGCTCAGCGCAGAAACATCAGTGTTTATTGTCACAAAAGCTTCCTTTTGCAGATTGATACACCTGACACATGTCGTTTGGTAGCGGAAAAAAGTTCATACAAAAGTAAATCCTGTTGTGAGTGCTTTTTTTTTTTAACCAGGTGATGATTTCTAGAAATAGTTGCTGAGTTTTTAAATAAAGCTTTTTCAGAGAGTCATTTAGTTCCATTATGTGAAAGAAGAGACAGAAATCTCCCAAACTAGGTGATTTACACCTAAACATTCTAAAAGAAACACTACAGGCTTTGATTCTGGAGTCAAATGCACCTTTTAAGATCTGTAGTTATTTTTTTAGTGTAAGAGACCATTTGAGAGGTTCTAAGTACACACAGGACAAATAGGTCTTTTGAGAAGTAATGGGAAGTAAAGCAATCAGGGCTAACGAGCTCTGGAACACAAACAGAAATCTGTATTCCCTCATGTTATGTCCTGTGGGTCAGACCACCCCGTTTGATTCTGTTTCAATCACGGAAAAAGACAAATAGCATGAAATGGAGGCACTGAGACGACCTCATGTTAGCAAGGACTCACAGTGACACCCCGGCACTTAGATGGCTGATTATGCTCCACTTTCATGCTATTAGGAAACTGCTTCTGCTACAGTAGCTCAACAAAAAGCGCAGATAACCTTGTGAAGATATTGTTGAACCTCAGCTCCACAGACAAATTTAACCAGATACTCGTTGAATCCACTGGAGCTGCAGTCTGTTGAGCTTGTACCGTCTCGCCGCTGGCTACGTTTTAAAATTCATTTGTTTTCTTCATTTGATTTTTCTTAAGTGGATGTCACGCATACGGGACTTGAGCTTCTGAACTCACTGAAATCTTTCTGAGTCTCTTTTCTTTTACTGTGCCTCGGGTGTTCTTGTGAATAAAGAAATAAATAAAAGAGGAAAAATAAGAAGTAAATTCTAAGTCACAGATCCAGCCACAAGTCTTGCGTCACGAATCTGAAGAATGCTTTCACAGCTTCTGTTTGAGGGAACGATCGTACTGACCTCTGAAAAAAAAGAAAAAATCAATCGCAATAAAATGATAATGATTTGAAGGTGATTTTGTCTAGCCATTGTGAAAAGTAGAACTCGATGCAGCGTCAATGGGGTGAGCAAAAATGCATTATTCCGTCTGATCTTTTCCACCCGACTCTGCTCCATTCTGGCCTTTGTTCGGTGTAATACATTAGGGGTGGCGGTTTCTGACTTGAAGAGAATGGCTCCCATTTATACGCATTAAGCACACAGGCGCACACGGCACATGAACCTTTTGTTGAGATGATAATTCACATTCAGTCCTCTTTACCTGCAGTAGCATCACTGTGCATGAGTAACCTGCGATGGAGCTGTAGGAGAGGTTGCGGTGACCTGAGCTCAGCTTTAATGTGTCTTTGGCCTTTCCAGATGACATAATTGGGAACAAAGGCGGAGATGGACACTTCGCACGGACCGACCCCACGGGTGAGTGCTTCCGTGATGGTGGCAGATAAGCACATAACATGTGCTGTCATTCAAAGATGAATTAGAATTGCTCCCAGACTTTCCTCTGTTCGTCATCCTTTCATGTTTCCCACTTGTTATAATTCATCTCTTCCTGAGGGGCAGTGGCAGATTTTAAGGGTATCGTGTGTTTGTAGGGGAGAAAGAGGAGACCAGGAACGGACTGGCCCGCGGTTTGTCCATCCC